CAGTAAGACTCCAGGGCCTAGGATCTCTGAGGGTGGCAGGGGACATTTGCCTTGACCCATGCCAACTAGAAGGCCCATCCAATAAACATTTGCTATGAGAAGGAGGGAGGAGGAAGGAAAGGCACTCGCATCAGCCCAGCCCTGTGGTGCCCCGACCTGAGCCGCCAGTCACCTCCAGATCCCCCTTCACCAGCCTCCCAACTGTCCCCCTTCCCGCCACACACCGGAGCTTGGCCCCTGCCTGGGTGGACTTGTAGATGTCACACTGGTGCAGTGGGCCCTGGTGGCCTGCCTCCTTGCACAGGGCTTGATGAAACTGGAACTGTAGGACAAAACTCACAAAGTACCTGCAGGCACAGGGTGGGCATTAGGGGCATCGGGGGGTCAGGAATGGGTCCCTTGCCAGGCACCATCCAGCTTCTGTCAGGGTAGAGGCTGGGCCAGGAGCCGTCTTGGGGAAAACTCCAGGCCCCTGAGGGTCTGAAGGAATGCGGGGGCAAGCCCTGGGGATGGGACACCTAGGATCACAGGAGGAGGGGACTGGAGGCGTGACAGATGGTGGGGGGCAGTGGACAATAGTACCTGATGTATGGCGTCACATTCGGGACATGAAACTTAGCTCCAGCATCAAAGTGGGTTTCATTTCGGACAACTGGAGGACAGATCCCCTGATACTTGGTTCTAGAAGAGGATGATTAAATTGTCTCAGGGCCTAGGTGTTGCACACAGGATGATTTAGCTGTTGTAGGAAAGGCATTCTCACCCAGATGTCCCTTCCCCATCCTAGGGAATTGGGGAAGACTTCCTGGAGGAGGGAGTTTGGGGCAGGAGAGAAGGCGGTGGGTAAAAGGACAGAGACATCCTTACATAGGAAGGGACAAAGACTGAGGCAGGAGGCTCCTGAGGCTCTTGAGGCCCCAGCAGGGCAGGGAGGGCCACTTGGGGTTAGGCCTTTCCTATCCGTCTGCTCACCGAAGATACCACCAGTCAAAGTTGTAGCGGGAGGGGGGGGTACGCCCACTAAAGACCCCCCAGCGCCACTGGTCCACCAAGTAGCCAAAAGGCAGGAAGGCAATTTTTTCCAATGCCATCTTTAGCAAGTAATTGATGTCATTTTCTGTTGGGAGAGGAGAAGAAAGAGGTCAGGGAGCAGGGAGTCTAGCTAGGAGAGGATGGACCTGGGGTCGCTGGTGGGAGGGGAGGCGAGGCAGGCGCGCAGAGGACGGAAGGCCGCTCTGGGGCCCTGCTTGGAAGAGGACCATTGGAGAGTGTTGAGTTGGGGCTGAAGGTGGGCTGTGAACCTCTGAGTGGATCCCAAACCCTGCCTGACCCAGGGCTGTGACCAGAAACAAGGAGGGCAGGACTGGGTGGGGGCAAACAGGGACCTGCTGTGGGACGGAGTAGGGCTTGGGTGGGGCTGGGCTAGGGCCTCTCTGCCCACAAACCCATACCCGTGTCATTGGTGACATGGTCCAGCAGGCCAATTTTGTACAGATGTATAGGAGTGGAGACCGAGAGCGCCAGCACATCCCCGATGGCCTCGTGGAAGCCAGGGTTGGCACCGCTGCGCAGGGAGACAGGCTGGTCCTTGTACTGCAGGTAGTACTGCACGTGGCCCATCTCGTGGTGCACCGTGGACAGCTGGTCCATCGTGACCCGCGTGCACTGCTTGATCCTGGGGCACAGAGGAGGTGAGGGTGAAGGACAGGGCAGGGCAGGGGCCAGAGCACTGGGGAGGCGGCACCTGAGGGATAGGACCAAGGAGGGCACTGTCACGGTGCTCGAACAAGCAGCTGAAAGCAAGCGATCCTTTACCCTGCCCTGGCCCACACTACTCAGGTCTTCTTCATCCATTGAGGCGGCACCTGAGGGATAGGACCAAGGAGGGCACTGTCACGGTGCTCGAACAAGCAGCTGGAAGCAAGCGATCCTTTACCCTGCCCTGGCCCACACTACTCAGGTCTTCTTCATCCATTCCAGGGTATGGAGGTGACTATCGTCAAAACTGCCAGGGAAGGCAGGAAGGGCCAGGGAATGGGCCCCGTATGCCGACAGCCCTGGAATAGATCCAGCCCCCGGCCAGTGCTGGGGCAGGGCAGAGGTGGGCCTGGGAACCAGCTTCCCTGTGCCGCGGGCTGGACCCCGGAGCCACCTCCCCCCTGTCTAAACCTGAAGTCCTTCCTGTTGTAGAAGTCCCAGGCTGAGGCATGGCACACCACCTCCCGCCCGTCGGTCGGCTTCTCCAGCATCGACTCTGCCCAAAACTCAGGAGGCATGGGCAGGAGCCCCAGGGAAGTGAAGAACTCCTCCGCCACCCG